GAGGGAGGGAGGGAAGGAGGGAGGGGGGGGCTGGCTAGAGCGAATCATTATGAATCATGATTGAGGAGACCTTGAGCAGGCACCCGTGAATCCTTGACAGTTGAACCTACAGTTTGGCCTGGCGCAATTTAGGACCCTTCCAAGTACTTAGTCAGCTCGGGCCCGGGTTCGCCAAGAGATCAAAGCCTCGTTTCCACATGTGCACGTCCCAACTTCAAGTAGGTGGGAGGCAAAAACCTGTTTCCACAATCTATGTTTGAAACGCAGGGCTTCCAGGGTGAAGAGGAAGACATGGCTGAGTTTTACGTCCAGCAGCAGCTCTGGTGTTTGGCCCTTGGTCTGATGCAAAACGTGCATCAAAACATCATTGCAGCTCCGTGGTACTGGTCAGCAACTTGCCGAAGCACGGTCATGCTTTTGCAATTGGACCACTGTCTTGGTGAGGTGCAGCATGTCAGTCGGCAGCCCCGCAGCACTCAAAGCTATCGGCCATGCATAGCACATCTCTACGAACAGCTTGAAACCTGCAGCCTCTCATTGCGCCTGCATACTCAGCCGAAGCAGCACTAGCCCAAAATGAGGGTATATCCTTTTCCAAGGTCTCTTTTTCAAGACTGCGCATTTGTTGCTTATGTTGCGTGCCGTACTGAACGAGGTTCGAGCCTCGAAGTCAATACCTGGCTTGTCCGAGTTGTGAGAGTGTAAGTCGTATTGACGGATCAACTTGTTAATGACGGGTGGCCCTGGGTGTACGAGTTTGGTGGCCATTGCTGACAGGCCGTCCATACCCTCAACACATTTTCACTCTGAGGAAAGGCAAACCAAGAGCTCCATCTAGCTGGTCGTGATAAACCGCACCTGGGCCGTACCTCATGGATCGCCGGCGTGGCAGACGCTCGCAAGAGGACGAAGGCGAGTAGAGCAGACATGAATTGAGGACCTCCGCCCGCCAAGTGTGGACGATTCAGCAGCTGCGCAGTGCCACGCAGAGAAGCATGCAGCTATGGTTGTGTCATGCCTTCTCGCAGAGACTTCGAGGCGGTGGCTTCATGAGCTGTGGCCAGGTACACAGATTGAACCTTGCAGGTTGTTTCCTGTAGAAGATCTTTAGAGATTCATGGCCGCTGGCCCTCACAGGCCGGGGTGCAGCCTAAAGAATGAAGTTTCTTTAGATGAGGTTGGAAAGTCTTCCTGGCCTTGGCCGGGCTGCACCTGGGAGAAATACATATGAGGCTTTAGGGACACGTTTGTTTTTTATTTGTGAGGGCCCCAAGCTGCTGGGAGTACGTGCATCTCCAGTGGGTCTCATACTTAAGAGGACTGCACTTCCAGAAGCTGCCCTATCCCGGTTAGCAGCCAGTGGCATTGCCAAGCTCAGGTATCTGCTCCTGGCTTTCCTATCCAACCAGACTGGTTTGGCGTCGTCCTTTCCGATGTACGATGCCCAGGAAGCCCTTGCGAGCATCGATGCAACTGGGCTGGTAGGTTCCGGTGAAACATTGATGCAGTGTATCAGTATGCCAAAGTTTTGCGCACGAAGTCCCCGCTGCTCAACCACGTGCCTGAAACCCTTCATGCGTGTTTCAGTCTGTTGGACTGAAGCCATCTCAAGTCGGGAGAGCCATTGGCTGCAAGACGCATGAGGCCGGCCTTGACAGAAAACAAGGAAGCCTGGCACACAGTCACCCAGTAGAGAGATACGCAGAGAGCCAGACGGAGGGATCGGAGCCTTCACCAAAGTCCGTGTTGCTTGCCAGCCTTCAGTCGGCCTTCTTGAAATTCAAGGGTGGACTCGCGAGTTCGGGCCATGGAGCACTTGCCTCCCTAAGTCTTGGTGGCTGTCAGGTGCTTGACCGAATCGTCGCCCTTGAGGCCACTGTGGCCAGGCACGGCAGAAGTGAGCCTCATCGTTGAACCTTGAGTGTTACGGCACATTGTTTGCTGTCGGGTGAACAGCCTGGCCCGTCGATCGGCAGGCTGGAGCAGCGAGTTCCGGCCGCAGGCTTGATCAGCATTGCCGACAGCTGGCGAAGCTGGGACTTGACAGCTGCTTTCCTTGGCCAGAACGACCAGACTGACTTGTCCATATTCAATCCTTTAGCAACTTTAGCCTCCTCGGCGACTGCTTCTGGCAGGCCAATCAGGTCCTTCACCTGTGCCTCCACAGGTTCCGGCCCCAGTATAACCACGGCTTCTTGATTCTTGATTGTAATGGATGCGCCAGGGGTTTTCCAGTCTGACGGGGACAGTTGGTTTCGGCGAGAACGCGTCGTAGGAATGGAGGTTGTATCGCGGGAGCTTCCTCCCCAACGCAGCAAGACTGCTTTTGCACAGGGCTCGCTTCCTCAGCAGCCACACTGTTCCTGGGAGTCCCAGCAGAAATCACCCAGTCTCCGATATGAGTGTATTCCTTCTGAGATTCTGGAGGCTGTCGAAGCTCGCTTTTGCAACAGGCACCCACCGCTGCGCCAAGCTCACAGCGCTTGCCCGAACCAGCGTGGCTGGGACTGTTCCATCACAAGGTTTCGGTTGCTTGCTCGTTGCACGAGGTGCTTGGCAAGCTCAGCACAGTACAGTCCTCTGCCGTTCCTGCAAATCATCTGGCTGTTTAACTAGAGCAACTAGGGGCTCAGAAGGATTTAATTGAAATCCGATGGGAACGTCGTAGCACCGTTCAGTTGCAGGCATTGTTCTATCCATTGATATGCGACGAGATACTAAACAGGAGGATCAGCAGTTTAGTTCCATTTTGACCAACGACGACCTCGCAGTCTTCTGTACTGCAATCGCACAGCCTCCACGGAATTCTGTCAAACTTGTCCATGTCATGACCGTTGCTGGTTGTAATCATAGGCACCAGCAGAGTTACTAATATCCAAACTAGAAATGAATTTACACTTGACATAAGCAGTTCATCATCATAAACACATTAGGACCCAGGGTGCGGCGGCAAGGCTTCCCCAAACAGGCCTTCCTGCTATCTCAGGCCTGTACTGCCGGCAGTCCCTGTCCCCTCGCCGCCCTCACCGGCGCAAGCTTTGGCTGGGAACTCAGAGGCGACATTGCGGTCCTTCGTTCTGGATACCCCCAAACCCTATTCTAATTATATAGCATTCTACGGACTCGACAGGACGCGCCGATGGCAGAGAAGCATCACCTTTCTGCACACTCCGCAGCAAGACCTCGTTCTGAAAGCATGCTGTAGCTCGATGAACCAGATCAGCTGTAGAATTGACTTGTTCTCTTGTGTGCCCGGTGCCCTGTGCTGCTAGAATTGCCTCTACACTCCAATGAGGTACACCTGAACAGGAGGCACAATTTCCCAAATCTGGAATGCAAACTGATTCATTTGAATCTCCAGCAGACCCAAAGCATTCTGCCTGGAATGCGCTGCCTTTGAACATAGGGAGAGGACCACCCAGAGACAGCCATACTATTCAGCAAAATTTTCGGAGTACCTGCCTTGCATGCCGAGAAGTCTCTCAGGTTCCTCAGACCCGCGCGGGTGCAGCGAAGCTGCACCTTCTGAGCCATCGGAGCTGCTCTCAGGACTTTGGGCTTTTCAAAAAAGTGCCATGGAACCGGCACGAAGCAGGGATAAATATGTTGTTGTGAAGACGAAGCCTACGATATGGAAAGGATCTCTTCGGTGGCCACACTGCATTCCACAGGACCAAACCCAACAGTGTAACCTCGGCTTCATCAAGGCCAGTCTCGAGCTGAACGCCGCTTGAGATTTGGGTCGTTGAGGGCTCGGGAAGCGTGCTTGATTCGGCCATGCTGCCTTTCGTGCCGAATAGCGGGCAATGCTGAGCAGATTCAGGTGGCAGGTGCGACATTCAAACTTGACTGCGCATGAAACCTGAGGAGATGGAGGCCATGAAGAAAGAGGCTGACACGGCTCCTCAGATTCAGGAGAGACACCTCTACACCAGGCCCCGCGAATCCTCTGACAATAGATTCCGTGCATCGACACAGCCGCCGGGTGCTGGCACTACGGGCTACAAAAACGGAAGCTTCCACTTGTCGCAGTCTCCCGGACGAGCTGATGAACGACCCACGCTGGCAGCAGCATGTGAAGTCGCGGTCTTGGTGTAGTGCACCTGCAGCGGGTGATGGGTCGCAAAAATTGTATTGACACCTCCATGGGTGGGAATGGAGCAAGTTTTCTTCCTGCATCGTTGAGGTCATCTAGACTGGAGCGATGATTTGTGTTGGCAGGTGGAAGCCAGAATAGGGGTCATGTTGAATTTACATACGGTTTTGTTTGTGGCTTGTTTTGTGGCTTGCTGTCATGTGTTTTGATTCAGGGTTTCATTGTCGTCGCATGTTCATTATCAAGGTTTGTTTCTGAATTTGTTTGTCGGTGTTCCCGGTCCATGGTTCTGGCTGGATTTGGCTCCATTCCAGGGCTGAAATCTCAAACAAAGTTACTGAACTCCTGTGATTTTGTCTTTGGCTGTTGCCCCTGACACCATCTGAAGCCATAAAAAAGCATGCCATCGAGAATCATTTAACATCCGTAGATTGTACATATGTTTTTGGCATGGTTTGGGCTGGCTTTGGCTCCGCTTCGGATCTGAAATCGGCTGAATTGCATGATCGTTCCGTGGTCTGGGCGGTTCTGACTTCTGAGACCACCTGCAACCACCAAGGCCCATCAACTCAAATGAAATACCTAGGACCTAGAGTTTCTAAATGTTACGGATGTTTATGGTTTGGGCTGGTATTGGCTCCGCTTCTGGCCTGGAATCCATTCAATTTCGTGTTTCGTTCTATGGTGTTGGGCGGGTATTGCCCCGTTCACCTGTTCAGCCCATGAGGAAAACATGAAAACACAAGAAATGCAACACAACTCCGAGCATAGAAGAACACTTTTTGATTCCGTATATTTTACTGGAACCCATTGGAACCCTCACACTGCAAGGATACAAGACCATAAATGCAGAGCGCAATGCGCATAAAATACATCATAAATGCCATGAGCGATATTCCCGGAAGACCCCTCGGTTCGCTGTGAAGCTTCTTGTGCACGCAGCGACGCCAGTTTCCCAGAGGCGACGACCCACACCTTCCCCACGAATACGCAAGCAAAGGAGCCAGACAAACACATGTTTCCATGATTTGGGGTTTCGGTGACTGTGGAAGCTGGCACTGAGGCCGAAGGTGCGTGGTCGAGGGTATTGGTTTTGGAAGGCCCTCGGCCTTTGCTGATCGGAGGTTTGCTTTCCATTGGATGAATGCCACAGGCCGCCATATCGCGACTGTTGCTGGCCAAAGGTGTGCCTTGGTTTGTATTGGCCGCAAGCTACATGTGTCTCGAGGGGATGAGGTACGGTCTGAAGATGTTCGAGGCAGAGGTCTTCGGATCGCGAGACCTTTTAGATGGGTTTGTGACTTCCTGATCTGAGGTTCTTCAGCTGGGTGACGATCTGCTGTATGCCACCTGGACTGTACTGAAGCCATCGTAGGGCCGGTTTAAGGCTTTTCACAGTGCACCGGCCTGCAGGTGCCACAGGCATGTTGCAGAAGTCGTGCTTTTGATGTTCGGGGCCAAACTTGCAAGACATGTCCAACCCCAGCTGAACTGTAGAGTCACTGTAGAGCGCTGTCAGTGTTCGAAGCATACAGATGCCAGATACAACTGCTTGTCGGCCTGCATTCAAAGCTCGAAGCAAGGTGGATGCGGATTCCATGCCCATGATGAAACACCTCATCAGAATGAGTGCCATGCACAAGCAGGCGGGATGCACCAAGGTTGCAAGCTTACCTTAACCTCTATCCGGTTTAGATACTCCGTATGTCTCCTTAGGCCATGAGCCTGTATGCTGGGTGACCAAAGGCATGCCATCATCGCCACTGTATTGTAGCGGCATTGCGTGTGTGGGCCGTAAAATGATGCAGTGCTGAGCTCCAGCGGCCTCGCGCAGGCACCTAGGCAATCGTTTAACAGGGGCTGTCTAGAGGATGTGGTGGGTTCAAGATGCCAAAGATACGCAGGACATCATCATTGCTGCGCAGCCTCACTGTGAACATGCTCCTTGCCAACTCGGGACATAAGTATTGGCATGCCTCATGGCTGGGGAGTTCCTTCGGTTTTGGATTCGCTGGGTTCATTGGTTCGCTCTACAGTGATTGACGCTTTGGATTCTTTCGGTGATCCTTCGCTGGACTGAACTTACTGAATATAATATGTTGCTTATTTTCTGTCTTCGGTTCACAGCGCAGAGATACAGGAACATGTGTCTTGACGGAACAGAAATGACTGTGCAGGTTTGGACCAAAGGTGACATCTTTCAGCGGTTTGGCACCACCTGGAACGATCTCCACTATGGACTCACGCAGCAGCCCAAAGCACAGGCCAGGCTTTGCCACAAGATGCCTCTCTTTGAATTACGCGTCAAGTCCTAAAGATCTTGGGGAAAAAGATATGTTTCCCCAATATGGTTAGGGCTATCGGCGCCGCCAACATGACACGAGCTCAGAGCTTCGTGCAGTTGCTTTCTGCGCTTCCGAGAGGCGTTTTACATGCGGCTGAACGAGCGCACGCTCAAAGTCTTGCAGATCTGGGAGATGCTCATGGAGGCCACGGAAAGATCCTATCTGAGTGTGGCATTGATGCCCAGGCTGCCAGTTGCCTTGCATGCCCACTTATGAGCTATATGGCTGCAGGTGTGTAGTATAGTGTGTACTCCAAATCAGTCTACTTCAAACTTTATTCATAAATGCCCATGAGGCATAAGCTTAGCCAGGCCCAGGGCGAAGAAAAAGTCTCAGCCGAAGCGTTGTCCGAGAAGCAGCAGTTTGTCGAAGAGAGACCTCGGCTTCCAGGACTTTCACCTCGTCTCCGACGAGCCTTCCCGGAGCCTGGACACATGAATTGTGAGCCACACCTGTAGTCTCCATTCTATTTCCTTTTTTGCTTTAACCAATAATATAATAAGGATTTTATAAGGCATCCCCAAAAAAGAACTGCAATGAAGGCTATAGGCAGCCTGGAAAGCGAACATCAGAAGTTAGATGTGCAATCGTGAGAATCGGGAGATTTCATGACATCGCTCCGAGGAACAAAGACTTGGATGGCCCCTGGTTCAAAAGGAAGGAGACTCAGAGAGAAGTACTCAAGGTCTGTAGAGTTTCGCATGTGCATCAAGCGGAGGCCGATGAAGCCCAGCAGCCTGCTAGCAGCTAGCAGCAAGCGTCACATCGGGTTGCGCTTGTCGAAGGAGAACCGGCATGATCAGAGCTTGCTGTCCATGATCATCAAGGCTTTTGTGCAAACACAGCCTCCTGTCGCGGAGTTTTGTGCATTCATCAGCGCTTGGAGCGGCAGATGGCGAAAGGTGGTGTCTCCTGGATTGTGACCGCGGATGTTTTTGATGCGATGTGCAGCGTCCAGAGCCGATCGCTTCGCTAATTCGAGAGGCAAGCGTTCCAAAGTCGGGCTCATGCAAGGACCGGTGCATGACGGCGGGCATGCAAGCAAATGAGGTCACTGACGTGAACGTGGGTTCATTTTATGAAGCAGATTGCCAGAAGGTGATAAGTTCATGTTCAAGACTTCGTGAAGTCCTTCAAGCTCAAGCCATGTTGCTTCAGGAGCCGGACTTTCCCTGCGATCGCTTGGGAGATCGAGATGAGACAGCGGGCTGGTCCGCTGGATGCTCAGATGTCGAAGAAGACAAAAACATGGTGCATAGTCGAGCTCGGGCCATTAGACTCGCCGTGGGTTACCAGCATGCCCCAAGACTCTGGTGGTCGCCCATGGGTTGATGCATTAAATTTGCTTTCAATCTCATGTCTGGTTTATCCACTTCTGCAGCAGCTGCTCACTTGTTTCGGAGTTTGCTTACGTCGATAGTCTTGCTTCCTAGCTCTTGCAATACCCGGTGAGTTGATTGAATTTGCAGCGCAGCTGCTCTCTCTGGTGTGCAGGCTTTGTGATTGAGCTGGGAAATGAGTCGACACTGAGGCAGTAGCAATTACGGAGCCAGTACCACATTGAGACTTATCACAACCGTGGACATGAGAAGACACCGGGACCCTGCATCACGCGTCCTTTTCGCCTGCTATGTACTTTACCATGCACTGGCAATCCCAGATTAAATTGAAGCCAGATGTATTCATGCGCTATCGGCACACAGCAGGAACTCCGTCAAATGAAACTTTTCCGATGGGAACATCGATGCTTGCTGGAAGTTGGTCCTTAGGTCCACCTTGTCGTGAAAGCCCATGCTTGCTTTTCCGGTAGGACAAAGCCGGGAAATGAAGTTCCGGCTAAAGGCCCTCGCAACCAAGCACTAGCAATGGCTTGTCAATACCCGGGGCCAAGGTAGAGTACACCCAGCGGCTGTCTGTGCGATTACGTCGTATTGGTATGCTAGGCCTGTGGCTGCAGCGCGGGTCCAACAAAAAGGGGAGCAATCATCAGACGCATGATTTGTTTGTGACGGTCTCTTGTTTCTATCACTCTCCCTCTCTCGTCTCTTGCTCCGTGTGCTTGCGTGCATCAAGCGAGGTTCATCCAGAGCTGGGTGTGCCGGGCCTGACGGTGAAGTACGTTTGAGCTTTGGCTTGAGCCGCGATGTACAGCCCCTCAGCACCTTCTTGAGCATAGCTCCGAGACGCGTTCAAGCTCACAGGCGAGCCTATCGCGGTGCCGAGACAGCGTGGTCTCCAAAGACGTGCACCGACTCGCCAGGGCGGACGCGTTTGTCCGAGACCTCTCGCAGAGGCCGTGAAGAAAACTCACTAGCTTGGAAACCGTCATGGGCAACATCGCTGCCTCGTTGTGAAGTTGTGCACACACGACATGTGCCTGCTTGCATGCCCGTGTGTGAACGACGGAGAGTGTATTTGCGTGTGCCAGTGCCTTTTCCTCTTCTTTGCCTTTGATATCCAAAAGTAATTAGTGCTTGGCACAGCAGCTGAGGCATGCAGCAGGTGAAGGATCACCTGGAGGCGTGGCTCCGACCGAAGTCGAAAACGAGACTGACTAGTCTCGTTTCACCCGGAGTCCGCTCCAGGGCCAGACCGAGTGATGCTCAGTCCAAGGAGTCCTTTGCCAGGCTGAGTGGCAGAAGGAACGAAAGGCCATGATTGACCAGATAGCTCGATTTCGCGCCGAGCCCTGAGAGTGAGGAGGGCTTGGGCTTGGGAATTTGGGAAGGCCGGCGATTCACAGTCCCAGCAATCGCCGAGCATGTGATAGTCACAACGTCAGTTTCACAATTCCTTTAGATGTCCCAAACCTTAAAAACCACGTAGCAATGTCGGACACTTATCGCCATGCCAGCTTTTGCGAGTGTGTGAGTCGAAAAACCTGGAAACAGTGGGGGCACATGGATCTGATCTCAGGAATGTACCTGTAGACTGTAGACCCACCACGCCGGCCCTGGATTGGGTATTACACACCAGGTTGTTGTTTCGCTTCTCTACGTGTGCAGCCTCCGCCAAAAACAGCCTCCAGTTGCGCTGTTTCAGTGACAAACACTGGGCAAGTGCGGATCTGCGTGCTGCTTCTTGACGCATGCCGTCAGGTCCACGGCACACTCCCCCCACCTGGTCAGATCTGATCAGACATTGCTTACGGAGGGGAGTGTGCAGACTGGGTTTCTGGGATTTGGGTGGATGAATCGTTCACCTTTCATCTTGACAGTCAGTTACACCGGGCACGAGGAAGGAAGGCCCCAGCGTGTCGTTTGATCATGTGACGTCGCTGTGCAGCATGTAGTTCTGGTGGAACTGGAGCATCCTTGTCTGAGCCCCATCGACATTAGCCAGCAGATCTAGCCGATCTAGCTCCCTAGGCCATGACCCGAAAACGCACCTAGAGTCGAAGATCTCCCTGGCAGCAGAGGCTGTGCTTACTCGGTATTCGATTCCATTGGAGGAGGCGGCTCTCCAGGGATTTGACTTTGTAGCTTCGTCTGCCACCTGAAGGTGAGTTCGTATTTTTGTTTAGTATATGTAATCATATATCATATATTTTATTCAAATACAATTTTTATTTATTGACTGCGCGTGAACCCTGTGGAGCAGCTTGCCATGTCCACGTCTGTGCTTGTGTTCATGCTCTCTTCTGCAGCCTGGCTCCTGGATAGGCTTCATGATGCCATGCAGATCCCATACCTTAGAGGTCCTGCTGCAGAGTGCCCCAGCCCCAAAGATACTGATGATAGTGGTTCCTGTGGGACGTTTGAGTTTCCCGTCCCATGTCCACGACCCTGCCGATAGCTCTCCTGGCGATCTTGCACTGTGCTGTGGCAGAGGATTCTGGGTCCCGGTGCCTTTAGATGTGGGTGAACGCAGCTCGCAATTTTCCAGCTGTCGTGACGTTCCATGCACGCCCGGCTTTGAAACCGTGCTTTATGGAAATATACGAACCTGGCTGGAGGATGTGGAGGCAAACACTTTCAACAGCTACCTCCAGGAGCAGGCAACTCGTCTTCAAATCGAAGGGTACACCCATGTCATCATCCGGGTGAAGGGATTGATGTTTCGAGCGAAGGCATGCGAAGCCTGATTACTGCTCGCTACTGTGCCAGTCACTGTGCTGTTGCCGCAAATGGCTCTCCTTTGTTCGGTGGGACTGTCCTGTGCACCGGAACGATGCTGGCCTTTGGCTTTGTCAGCTGTCGAGGTGTGCCAGGCTTGCAAGGACTTGGACCCGGAGGACAAGGCCATCTTGGAAGGTGTAGCTGCAGTGGAGCGCGCACATCTCCACGATGTCGCGGGCTCAGCTCATTGCTGAAAGCTTGTTGCAAGTATGCTTACGGCCCACGGCATTGGCCGTGTTTTTATGGTAGCATTGCAATCTCTCGGGTCCTGAGGGCATCTGAGGTCGTTCTGTACCTTGCCCTCCCTTTCGATGTCTACACCCTGGCCTGGATATGGCATGGCATTTCAAACGAGGATATGCTGAGTCTTGGCCTCGTGCTGTCGTCGTAGTGACAGTAGCAGTAGCAGTAGCAGTAGCAGTAGCAGTAGTAGTAGTAGTAGTCGTCGTCGTCGTAGTAGTAGTAGTAATAGTAGTAGTAGTAGTAGTAGTAGTAGTAGTAGGACCACTACTACTACTACCACTACTACTACTACCACTACTACCACTACTACTACGACCACTACTACGACTACCACTACTACTACTACTACTACTACTACTACTACCATTACTACTACTACCATTACTACTACTACTACTACTACTACTACTACTACTGCGACTACGACTACGACTACGACTATGACTACGACTACGACTACGACTACGAGTACGGCTACGGCTACGGCTACGGCTACGACTACGACTACGACGACGACGACTACTACTACAACTACTAGTACTACTACCACTACTAC